AGTAGCACTGTAGTAGCACTGTCCTCCCGTTGCTGATTTGCTAGAGCGGGCACCAGTAACGCTTCCATTGTGAGACTTCTTACTGGTTTTGGCCTATCGAATACGCCACGGGGAGCTTGCCAGGCTCTGCTCTGTCAGCAGGATACTCTTGGTAGCTTGCCGTCTCTCCGAGAGGGATGGAGGAATCGAAATCAGGTTGGCCGCATACAAGGCGTGCCGCCCTACCTGCTGTGCTATCGCTCCAGCCTGATACAGGACAGATATTAGAATATTCATTTTGGAATTTAGAAAACTGAAATGGAGAGATTAGGGGATATTAATCTGAGTTGATTAACTATTGGACATCATTTGCCAGGTTCTGAGTTTGTCTGCACAAGCTTTCTTATGCAGAGAGTGATCCAGGTTCTGCCTGGCCCCCAGCCACTGCCAGCTGTAACCTTGAAATGCTGTAGCATATGGCAGGAACAGCACTACATTATCAGAGCTGAGCACAGACCTCTCAGGTGTGGCAATCAGGTAAAGTGTCCTGTGACTCCCCCTCAGAATTCCTTGTGGGCGGGGGGAGGAGGGGTTACAAAATTTTAAAAAGAATAGTAAGACGGAGAGCCAGAAGATTAAGGAAATTTACACTGATATAGGAAGCACATACCATGCACAAAGGCTTCAGTGAAGACTGAAGACAGAAAGGAAGGAAACACTGAGAGATGGAGATGCAAAATAGCACAAGAACAGTAGGGAGAAATGGGCAAATACAAGAAGAGGAGCGGGCTTGCTAAATAAGACAGGATAACAGACACACAGCCAGTCAGATGGTACCAGCAAATCCTACGAAAATAATGCCTGCTTTCCTCCATCTGCCTCAGAAAGCTACCTGTCCCAAACCTATTTTGTAGGATTACATTGGTTTGTCCTTCCTGCATAGCCTCAAGTAGTTTAGGCTTATTGGGTTGCTCCCTTCAGCGTATTCCCATTCCTCTGTGTTTATTTGTAAACTTCTTTCTTTGTGCTCTGTTAACTTGTAAATTTTGTTTTTCTCTTCTCCTTAAGTCCTTTGCATAGTTTATTCAGAGCAATGTCCTTTTGGTATGGACACAAGAAGACAGTAAAAGCTATGCTTTTTTAATGTGGGAGTCATTTGACTCAGTGATATTTTCCTTTTGGGCTTCTGTTCTCTCAACCTAAGTCTTAGCTGCCCTTACTTTCTAGTACCCTCAAAACCAGGGCCCTGACGAGGGACTGGATGGGTCCAGGGCAAGCCGTGAGCAATGTGCTACCCTGGCATCGAAAAGGGCCTGGCCAAAGTGCCATAATGCTTAACTATAAGTTAAGAGCATGGTCAGGGACAAATGCTGTCATGGTCCAAAAAGTAATAACTAGATTCAAACCCTGCTAGGATTAGGAAAGATTAATCTGGCATGAGCACTGTAGTCCGAGTCTGTGGCAAGATGTTCCCAGGAGAGCTGCCCTACAAGCCTCTAGTATTAAGATGTTGATAGTTATTGGACTGAGGAAAGGAGAAAAACACCTTAGGAGGTATTTTGCCCTTGGGCAGTCAGGAAGGGCTTTGTAACACCCCTAAGTGATGTTTCTGTCCTTGAGCCTGGCAGTCAGAAGAGTTTCTTATGTTGATTTTGCTATCAGATTGGGTGCAGTGTTGGCCCAGAGTTCTGCAGAGGTGGAGAGACAGGAGAGCTGGAGAGAATGAGAGAGAGCAGGGCTAGAGATCGAAAGAGGAAAGACTAGCAAGAAGAACAGAGATACGGATGTAGACATAGAATACAGGAGCAGGGGCGTGGAGAGAGAGAGCTCAGGCTGCAAGATGGAGCATGGAGAGATGAGCCAGAGAGACAGGGGAAATGGGAATGAAGGGCAGTGTGAGACTAGAATTGGGGGCTCAGAGAGACTGGAACAGGCGAGTGGGGAGAATGGAATAAAAGGCACCTGATCAATTAACTGGCTTGGCCCTCTTTTCCTCCACTGTCTGCCCCAAGGCCTGAGCCCACCCGAACCCAGGCGCCCAGGGGGAGAGCTGCAGCGGCCTTTCTCAGCCATCTCAGAGATTAGACACTATTTGACTAGCTTTGCCCCTATCCCTAAATGAGGGTGTTCTAACTGCCTCTAAGCCTATTATTCTCAGGATGATCTGGTCTCTCTTCCTACCTTAATAAGGCCCTACTCCATCTCTCATCACCAAGTGAGATAGTAGGTACATCCTCGGATCAATGAAAGCTGCTTGTTTCTGGGTTCCTTTCTCCTATAATGCTCATTGTAGGGAAAACACAAAATAAACCCCTTTTAGGGAAGAAGTTGAGAGGTGGTGTGCAAACAGTTTTATTCATTTATGAAAATAGGAGAGACAAATAATAATTAAATGTTTTCATCTGGAATAACTGAAAGACAAATCTGGCCCCAGTGATTTCACTTAGTAGATTTAGAATTCCTAAATAGAGTTTTGTTTAGTAGATTTTCAAGATTGGAGAAAGGACATTCACGTTAAATCTATAACATAAGGATGAGGAAACTCTCCCCTTTAATTTTACATAATCTCAGCAGTAAAGTAGATTAAAGATAATTGTAGCACTGTTGCACTGTCCTCCCATTGTTCAGCAATTTGCTGGAGCCGCCCAGTAATGTCTCCATTGCGAGTCTTGGTACAGTTTTTGGCATATCGAATATTCCGACATATTTCTTTCATCATAAAAGACAATGTGGAGATGACCATATTTAGCTATAATGTTTTAAATGCCACAAATTTGTAGTTCACTTTATAATATTTTCATTTTTTTTCTCTGTTTTGATATATCTCAGTATTTTTCATTTTTTAAACCATGCTCTACTGCCTATATCTTTATTTATTCATTTACTTATTTTGATTTTGGGTCAGATTTGGTGGTGCTGTTTTTGGTGCTGGCAACTGGGTCAGCTGCATGTAAAGAAAGCACCTAGTTTTTCCCTTTTTTGATCAACACCTCCTTTTCACTTTTGTCCCTCCCCTCCTTCTTGTTGAACTAAATACATATCTTTATTTGGTGTTTTGTTGGAGGAATAGCACAGCAGGTAGGGTATTTGCCTTGCACGTGGCCGACCCGGGTTCGATACCTCTGATCCTCTCGGAGAGCCTGGCAAGCTACCGAGAGTATCCCCCCCACACAGCAAAGCCTGGCAAGCTCCTTGTGACATAATCAATATGCCAAAAACAGTAACAAGTCTCACAATGGAAGTTTTACTGATGCCCACTCAAGCAAATCGCTGAACAATGGGAGGACAGTGCTATAGCACTAGAGTTTTGTTTTGGGACAGACTTGGTGATGCTCAAGGATTACTTCTGCTTCTGCACTCTGGAATTACTCCTAGCAGTTTACAGGACACCATATGGTATGCCACATATAGAACTCAGATTGACTACATGCAAGGCAAGTGCCCTGTCCTCTGTGCAATCTCTCCAGCCCCACTAAATACTCATTTGTGATTTCCTTTAAAAGTTCTCTAATCTCTACAAAAGGAATGCCCTGCCACAGAGGCAGAGTGGGGTGGGGATGATGGGGGGTGGAAAGGACACTGGGATATGTGGTGGTGGACAATGGGCACTGGTGGAGGGGTGGGTACTTGATCATTGTATAACTGAAACCCAAGTACAAAAATTTGTAAGTCTACAACTATATTTCATGGTGTTTCGCTGATAATTTTTTTTAAAAAGTTCTCTAATTTCTAATTAAAAACAACAAATCCTAATATTTCATATTTCTCTCAATTGTCCCTACTTTTCCATTGTATTGCCTAAAACATTCAGATTATTTATTTGATCATTCTCTCTGGGTCACTGGCTTGAAATCATAAGAATAAAGGTTCCTATCCATTGTTTGTAGGATTAATTTACCAAAATAAATAAATAAATAAAGCATTTTATATCCACTACCTTAAAAAAATGTCTTTTAGTACTCTCAGATAAAGGAAACTATCATTTTTTTACGAAATAAGATAAGACAGATTTGTTCATTTTATTTGAATAATTTTGAATTCTTTCATATTTTTTTTAAAACATGTTTGAGTGAGAATCTATCGTGTTCTTGCAGTCCAAAGGAAATCTATAATAATACTGCACTTGCCAGTGTAAATGTTTAACAAAGTCACAGTGATAAAGCAAAGGTAAAAAATGGAGTATGTACATTATCAACCCTTGAGAAAACATAAACCGATTAACTTCTGTATTAGGTATAAATTCTTATGAAAGTTATTTACGCATTTTCAGCTTTGAAAAACTGTAAGGCATGGCATTATTTTCAGAAGTGAATATTTATATCCTACTCTTTCATTTTACTTATTGTTGCTCTGCAAATAAGCTGCTTTCCCCTTTTCTGCTGGGACTTCACAGGTTCTTATCACTGTCTCTGGAAAGACTGTCTCTCCAAGGGTCTGGAAATCAGCAGGGTGACATCCAGCAGTGCTCCTCTACATGGATGGATGGAACTGACTTATCATCTGTCACCTATACTACCCAAATCATCCATGTGAAGAAGGCTGACTTGGCACCGACCTGGCAATTATCTGGTGAACCCAGTCCAGTAAACTGCCCATACTGATAAAAGTTCAAAGAATAAGTATAATTGCATTGGGAAATAATGGCAAGTCCTTTCTGATGGTTCAAACGGCAATATTTTGACTAGAGCCAGTACATAATAGCAGGCTAAACCATATAAATACAGATTTAAAAAATACAGACTGCTATCACAGGCACTCTATGAATTTTTCTGAAAGTGACATAAGTCTAGACTTTATTAAAAGGTTAATTATTGGCATAAATCAGAAATTCACAGAACTATAAAAATTATTTACTAGTGTCAAATAATATATATTGCACATACAACAAAATACAAATATATACATAATAAATACTAATTATAATAATTCAGAATAAAGAATTTAGGTTAAAGAGTCACAAGGAAATGGAAGTCAGTCTGCGTAATTTTTATGCTTAGAAATGGAATAAAAGATTCACTGACAGTCAGAATCTCCCTTCAACAACTAAACAATGGGCATTGCCAAGGTTGCATTGGTCTAAAATTAGAGCCTGTATACTTTAAAAGGTAATTTACTTTATTAGCTATGAGTATAACTATTCAACGAGTTAGATGCCAAGACTTAATGCCACAGCAGACAGACCAAACTATACCATCATCCTGTTTAGATTTAAGGTTAGGAAGTTATTTCCTGTTTCCTAAGTAGAAAACCATCTTGTGTTCAGCATTTATTGAAATTTCCTGAATTTTCATACAACAATTCCTGAAAAAACTGGAGAAATCTGTTGCCTGTTGCCTTGAAGATGATAGTAAGTTTATCTGGACAACAGGTATCTGTTGTCCAGATAAACTTGCTTGGTGTGAGCCTTAGGCTCATAAGACGAGAGACATCAAGATAGTGAAGCACTTCATTGCACATACACATCAAACACAGATGGTGTAACAACTTGGAAGGACAGGTCCAGAAGACTTCTAATGTGGCCTCTGAATCCTAACCAGAGCCTCCTAACGATTGAGAAGCAAAGTCTGCTGAAATCGAAGAGTGGAGAAGCAGTGGTGCACGTAGCACCTTTTGTGGTTTTATGTAATGAAAAATAGGCTGAGGTCAACAGTCCTGTAGGCCTGCGAAAGTGACAGGTCCATTTCTTTACCCTTAATAAAGGGGGTGCTCTTAGGTGATTTCCAGGATTCTTGTTATCCGTGGCATAAGTTAAAAAATCGATACAAGCTGACATAAGTTGACATGTCAGCATAAAAGCAATAAGCTACATATAATTTATAAAATGTTTTTCTTCTATTATTCTATTGTATCATTACTATTAATTTATAAAGAAACTAGCCAAGTTAAAGGAAGGATAAAGATTAAACTTCCATTCAACACACTGATATATATAAGCACCCAACAAAATGAATAAGTAACAGAGCCATGACTTTCTCCTGGACCATGGTACACTGCATACAATTCCCATGACAGCCATTCTTGCTGAGCCCAGACACAGTCATCTGTAATGAAAAATCTCCAGCCAGAGACAAATCTTAAAGTTTAGAGAGAATCTTTTTTGCCTACATATCCTGCTCTCTGCTCTGTAAGTCATGAAAACACATAGAGTGAGTCAAATTGTATTCCATGGAAAGCATTAGAGGAAGTAGTTTGTTACTTTTGCAGAGACTGGCTTTGACAACAATTAACAATCCTGAATATAAATTTGAAGAACAAAAAATGTTTTCAGAAGAGTCACTGCTGCCTGAATGAAATGGAATAATGGGTACAGATGACTTACTCTCTCAAGATAAAATGGTAGCAATGGTGAAATCAGAAAAAGTGGAGCCATTTCTCAGGGCAAGAGCCCAAATCACTGGCTTTCTCAGGAAAACAGAGCTTCGCTGCTGCTGTGTCCTGGAATCTACCATCATTCTATAGTAGTAATTTATAGTTTTCAATATTTATGCCCTATCCAATCACAAAAGAACAAACTCAGATAAATGCAAGGTAAATGTCTTACCAGATCCAGCTCCAATTGTCCATATTTTGAACATGATACACGATATATGTAATTCCATAAAATGTTTTTATCCAATCACTATATGGAATTATACTATGCTGAGATATTCCCTCATTGTCCACATTTTGAAATGATCTATGATGTATTTAATTCAATATAACATGTGCCTATCACCTAGCAGTTGAAACTGCTATAGCAGAATCAATGATTCAACTCAAAAAGTTATGTAACATATTTAGAAAATCAATACTTCAATAAATATTATTTTGTAACCTATATCTTTGATCTTTAGAAATAAGTAGTTTAGGGGGGCAGTAAGAGAGGAACAAAGATTGCACAATTACCTATTAAGATTGAGCAACTCAACACTCAGTCCAAGTAAGTATAGTGCAATGATGAATCGATTTCCTAATTTGTAAATTTAAAAATAGTTAAATCCTACCACTAGATTCCAGAGAGGACCCTGTAATACACAAAAAAATCTGGAAATAGGAGATTTGATGGGTAACTTTTTCCAACTGGCTTATTTTAAGTACTAAATTGTACTGACCTTTGATTTCACTTTTGTGATAGAAATTTTTATAGTGAAGCAAGAAAATGACTTTTTAGATTTTTTAAAAAATAGAATATTCTACTCCTTAGCTTACTCTATTTGCGTACATAAAATATATGTGAGTTTTTGTTATCTACTTTCTTGGAGAATTAGACTCTCAAGTTTATTGTAGACAATCATCTATTTCTTCAGTTTATCAATGTAAAAATCAAACCAGATATTCTATCGACAGAAGTACAAGTAAAAAGCAATCAAAACCTTAAATAAGTATGCATTTACAAATATCTAGCACTGAGTATTATCAATTTATCAATTAGTTTTTTGCTTTTGTTTTTGTTTTGGGCTACACTGGCAGTGCTCAAGGCTCACTCCTGGTTCTGCACTCAAGGATAACTTCTGGAAGACTTGGGGACCAGATAGTGGGCTGGGGATGAAACCCAGACAAGCCATATGCAAAGCAAATACCCTACATATTGTATTATTTGTTCCAACCCCTATTATTTAATTTTTTAGTGCCGAACTACATGGACTTTACTACTGCAATGTTATTTCCTTTATTGTTTAGTCGTGAATTAGAAAAATGAAGGAATATTTCCCATATGCAGTATGGAAAGAACTTTAATAGTGACAAATGTAGGCTTTTCCCCAAAAAGAACAGAGAAAGATCAAGAAAAATACTATGTAAATTTTCCTTTATTTTAAAAATATGGTTTTGAAGATTAAGTGAAGATCCGTGAGTCCAAAAGACTCTTATTTTGCTTTACAGTATCTGTTGGAAAGCTCATTTGCAGACAGCTGCAACATGAGCTTCCCTTCCCTGCCCTGTCATTGACCTCCAACCTGATCTGAAGGAACCACCTTCTTTCTAGTGAGAAGTTATTCATTTACCATAATAGCTCTATTCTGGCCTTCCTTAGCAGAAAACTGGCAATTGTGCCGAAATAAGGTTTTGTGAGCCTCTCTACTGATTTTAACACAAGAGGACAAAAACCACTAGGAAATTTCTGCTCCTACAGCCACCTTAGGCAGTCATAAAGTTGCTGTTTAATACTGTGGCTGATGTGCAGTGATCACAAAAAGAGGAAGAAAAATCATTAGGAGTTTGCACTCGCTTGCGTTAGGTACTAGGGTTTGCCAATTATGTTCTTTTAACTCGACAGCTGATTCATTGAGCAAGAGCCGGTACTTTGGAAGTTCACTGACATTCTGCTGTGTTCAACTTTAAAATAAAACCACTTCATGAAGAGAAGTGAGAAACATAAATGATAAGCCTATTGGATAATCATTACATATAAATAAAAAGCCTTTGATACAAGTAATTAGTCACAAGCATTATGCGTTGAAATGCAGTTCAGAGTTAAAGAGACAGTTTAGAAGCACATGGCACATTTATCACAGCTCCAGACAAGTTATTGAGCTGTCTGTGAAAAAACAGAGCCAAACAGGAAAGCTTTCAGCAGCAAGCAGCATGGAGGCCCTTGATTGATAGAGCTAGATGATGCAAAGCTGTCCAATGGCTTTCTACAAAATAAAGTGAAGGAACTCAAGGTCTTTCTTGGCACTCTCTGACCACAAATGAACAGCTACTTTATTATGGCCCAGATTGAGGTTGCACCTTATGCCATATTCTGCCACTTTCTGATGCACATGGTTGACTTGGCCAACCAACCTCGGTGTTTTTTAAAGTCAGAATCTCTCATCTTCACTTTCTTGAGGGGAGGGAGGAGGGAAGGAGGGAGAGAGGAAGGGAGAGAGAGTTTCATTCTAAAAGCCAATGGGTGTCCCTGGTTAAAAGCGCCAATCTCCAATCTTTTACTTGTCCTAACCAAAACTCATTAGCAGACTGGAAGAGTTTTCTGAGTGGGTAGGGCGTTTGCCTTGTATGCAGCCAACATGGCCTACCCGAGTTTGATTCCTCTGCCCATCTTGGAGGGCCCGGCAAGCTACCAAGATTATCTCGTCCGCACGGCAAAGCCTGGCAAGCTACCCGTGACGTATTCGATATGCCAAACACAGTAACAACAAAGTCTCACGATGGAGACATTACTGGGCCCTCTTGAGAAAACCGATGAACAATGGGAGGACAGAGTGAGCTAGAGCTTGGACATTCTTGTAGTCTACAGACTTCAAAGGAGTGGGACTCTCCACATTCAGCCCCATAGGCTGATGATCTATTATCCTGCTCTTGGAAGGTTTCCCATGCTGACCCATTTTGACTTCATGCAAAAGAGGGTAATGTGCCTTCCCTATAGTCAGACAGACTTTTTCTAATATATCAATAAGCATCATCTTAATATGGGGAATTAATGTCAGTCAAGTCCCAGGGGCCCTTACCTCTACTTAGGAATTCACTTATTTTTTTGAGGAGGTTTGGGCCACAACTGGTAGTATTCAGGGATAATTCCCAAAAGTGCTTGAGGGACCATATATGGTGCCTTAGATGAAAGCTAGGTCTGCTAGATGCAAGGTGAGTGTCTTATTCCCTATAGATCTCTTTGGTCCAGGAGTGTTTATTATTTTAAGAGAAAAGAAAGACAGGGTTGGGGGTGGGCATTGAGAAGTCCTTACACTTATCAGGATTTTGCCCTTTACCTAAATGAATATTCTCTTTTATCCCTTTTAACCTTTAAATGACTTAAAGAACTGTATGGAGGAAGTGATGGAGTGGGGAGGAGTGGGGGGTTGTTACAATCCAGGGGTAAGTTTATCAGTGAAAACGTTTTCTCTGAGAAAATCATCTTTACTCACTTGGATGATGTCATCATTGTGTGACCTCCCTCCCATAACTCTTGCTAACCTGGGTACCTTAATACACAATAAACATTCCAGGTTCTCCCTGATTTTTCTTAACATTTCACTGCCATGCAAATCCTCCATAGGAAAATTATCTAAATTGATGTTTTTCCTTGATAGTCTGTCTGAAGTTGCTTTGTTTA